CATAGGGTCGCTATGAGTCGCAAACGACTCGATGGCACATAACAACAACTGTTCAACAACAGTGAGCTTCTTGGTTTATTGACAGTACCATCATTTTTTATTCCCAGTAGCAGTTTTAGAATGGCTTTAACAACATTTTAGTGAGTTGGAAATGACAAAAACTTAAAATAGAGGGAGCTCTGGTGGCAAGAAGCTGTGTTGCAATCCCAAAAGTGCGTGGTTAGAATCCACCAGATGCCCTGTTGGAGAAGGAGGGGCACTTGCCTCCTGTGCCAGTTGGATCCCATTCAGTGGTACACAAAATTGAAAAAAAAATTTTTTAAAAAACAAAAAACCCTAAAGTAGCTTATATTTCCTTTTACCTGTATAAGAATTTCCATTTTCCATTTCCCTGTATCTTTACATGTGTTTATTTGCTGTTTATATCTCTTTAGAGAAATGTCCATTAGTATCTTTTGCCAGTTTTTTAACTGAGTTTTCGATTTTTTTGGTGGTTTTATTATAGGAGTTTTTTTTATATACAGTCTGTATCATTTGCATCAGATACATGTTTTCCAAAGGGGTTTTGGTTTTTGTTGGTTTTTTTTAGGACGGGCTATTTTAAATTTCATTATTAAGTAAAACCGAAAGTTTTAGAGTACCTTATTCCAGATTCACAAAGTGAGACCATAGTATGATTCTGTCATTAGTATTGTCATTCTTAGATTTTCTTTAATGTTGAAGGGATGAAGATGCCCCTGCTAAAATTCCAGATGAGGAGGCTATAAAACCTGAAGGCTGGCTAGATGATGAGCCAGAATATGTACCTGATCCAGATGCTGAGAAGCCAGAGGATTGGTAAGAGCTTTAGTTACTTTTCTATTTTATTTTGTTTTTACCTCCTTTATTTTTAAGTTGAGTGAAACTTCATGCCTCACTGGTTTTTCATTTAAGCCTTTATCACATTTTTTATATTATTAATCATAGTTGGTTTAATGTAATTAATTATAATGTGTATTATATGCTGCCTTTCTCTTCCTCAGATTTACATACTGATTTTCACTCCCCTCTCCCTTCAATTGCATGGGGTGGTAGTTTTGTTTTTAATTACTGAGAGAAAGTTCAAGTATAGCAAATTTCCCAATTTTAAGTGTAAGAGCTTGCCAAATTGATTGAATTGTCTGTTTTTAGAGTAACTCTTATCAAAGAACATTTTTAATGGAAATGCAAAAAATTAAAGTAGAAAAAAGACTTTGATGTTTGATAGGGTGATATTAACAAAATTCTGTCATTATCTTGGGAGTGCCAGACTGCTGCTGCATCACAGAAACAAGCTCCTTGTAATTTGTTTTTTATTACCTCCACAGGGATGAAGATATGGATGGAGAATGGGAGGCTCCCCAGATTGCTAACCCTAAATGTGAGTCGGCCCCTGGGTGTGGTGTCTGGCAGCGACCTATGATCGACAATCCCAATTATAAGGGTAAATGGAAGCCTCCCATGATTGACAATCCTAACTACCAGGTTTGTCCTTCTTGATGCTTGTTTTGCATTTGTTGATTTTTTTAGTAAAAGTTGGTGTCTGTAGTTAGGGGCCAGGTTGATCACCATATTCAAACTACAATTAAGAACAGAATAAAAGTAAATCTTAGAAGTTGAGAGTGCTCAGTAGCTTCATTTCTACAAAGATAAATCTAGAAACTTGAGAGAAACGTTTCCAGTGTTAATTTATAATGTAAGTTTAAAAATTTTTTAAAAATGGGAACTTCTTCTCCAATAGCACAGCTCAAAGGCATCAATTCTTATATCATCCCTAGTCATTGTCCAGCTTCCTGATGCATAGCAAGAAACTGCAAAGACCATAGCCTGTATCAGGTGCACAGTCTCCAGAGTGACATCATTGCTCTTCTGTACTTTGGAGAGGTCCCTAACAGCAGACTTTCCCGTAAATAAGGGTGCTTCAGCCCCAGAATCCAACTCTCAAGATTGGTAGTCTGGATGATAGAGTGGAGAGAGAGACGACTGTGATGTGACCTAGATCCTGAACTATGGCAAGTCATGTCATTGCTTGGCCTCAGTAGTGTTAACTCTAAAAACCTCTGAGCCTCAAATAAAACCATAAGAATACAAATAGATCTCTGTTACATGCACACTATGTTTTTCTGTTTTGTAATATTTTTTTTAATATGCTAATAGGTTCGTTATGAGTTGCAAGCAACTCGACGGCACATAACAACAACAGTAATTATATAAATTAAAAATTGTTCTTTAACTGGCCTTTTGAAGACCTTTTAGATAGATTATAATTTGTATTTATAGTCAGGTACTGTAGTAAGTCATATACCTTGGCCGCTAAATAGTAGTTTTACTAGAAATGAATTTTTTTGATGGAGATAATGTCCATTTTAAATCGCTCCTGAAGAGGACTGTGCTGATTTATTCTCCCACTCCATCAGAAATTGATGTGGAATGATCCAGGTGAAGCAAGGTCATTTATACCAAGGTCATAGATATTAGAGAGTATTTAGGATCTTGAACTCTTAGGATCTATTGATGTATAAAACACAGGACATAATGCTTGGCACATTGGTAGCACTTCCTATGTTCTTCTTGCAGCTCAGTTAAATTTTGTGTAGTGTTACTACCTTATCTTAATTGACCACATAGAATTTAGAAGTTTATTTAGAACTTTGGTGATGATTATCTGAAATACTTTTCTTTTTCTCCCTAGGGGATCTGGAAACCCAGGAAAATACCAAATCCTGATTTCTTTGAAGATCTGGAACCTTTCAAAATGACTCCTTTTAGTGCTGTTGGTTTGGAGCTGTGGTCCATGACTTCTGACATTTTTTTTGATAACTTTATCATTTGTGGTGACAGAAGAGTAGTTGATGATTGGGCCAGTGATGGATGGGGTCTGAAGAAAGCTGCTGATGGGGCTGCAGAGGTTTGAGCTTGCTTATTTCTTATGTTTATATCTGTCATTGCAGGTAACTAGTTGCTGCTTTTATGAAATGTCTTTTTATTAAGTATTGAATCCTGGTTTACTCAGTATATGGAATTTTCAAACAGTTGATCATGTGGCAGAACTGGGAATTGAATTGGAGAACCAGAGAAGCTGAGCTTAAGAAATTGTTTAGTCACTGGTTCCTGAGTTTAAGGGATCCTTTTGCAGATGATTAAGAAGCCAGCTATTAGGGGAGCTTTGGTGGCCTAGTGGCAAGAAGCTGCAACTACAATCCCAGAGGTGCACTGTTCGAATCCACCAGATGCTCTGCAGGGGAAGGAGGAGTAATCTCCTCCTGTACCAGTCAGATCTGATTTGACAGTACCGGCACTCAAAAATAATAAAAAAAAAAAGAAGCCAGCTATCCCACTTCAAAGTGAAGTCGCTTTGATTAAGAGGGGGGGGGGGAATCTTTTTTGCCTGCTAGAAACAACTTGGCTTGAATTTTTTAAAAGAGGAGCCTAGGTAGTTAGTATTGAACAGTGGGACACTGCAGCCTAAGTTGAACTTGCATCCAGTCCTGTCTTGTTTTTTTCAGCCAGGAGTTGTGGGACAGATGATCGAAGCCGCTGAGGAGCGCCCATGGCTTTGGGTGGTCTACATTCTCACTGTAGCTCTACCTGTGTTTCTTGTTATCCTCTTCTGCTGCTCAGGAAAGGTATGATTTTTCTTTGGAATCCCTTTTAAAACTCTTAAAATGTTAGGAATAGCTAATACTGAGTTTTTTCCTTAAAAACTCCATACAGACTGAGTCAAATTTAGTGTTGCATAGTAAAAGTTGGAGATTTTGATTGTGTAATCCTCAAAGGCTGTTTATTGTGATGGATGTTGAAATTTTTTTATTTTTATTTTTTTTTATTGAATTTTCTTAGTTGTAATGAACATTTACAGAGATTTTGGGTTTTCATTCATTCATTGTTGCAGTTTTCTCTACCCTCCTCCCCAGTCCGTTCTTCTCCCCCCCCCAACCCCGAATGTCTGTTTTAATTGTCCAATTGCCACAGTGCTTGTCAAAGCCAGTTCTGATTAATCTCCTTTGTCAGTGTGTCCTT